CTCTACCATGTGTGATGCTTCTGCGAAAGCTAATGTGCGTGCGCAAAGGGCATCAGCTAAGCTCGTAGATATGTCTTTTCGCAGAGAGACAGGATCGGGTTTTGAATCGGCGGGAAGATCGGGAAGATGTCCATAGGTTTTCGTAAAGTCATTTACGTTCAATGAAGCATTGACATATTTCTCATCCAGATCACTGATGAGCGCCATCGACCGAACCAAATCCGAAGGTAAATATTCCGTGAAATCGAGAAAGTCTGTAATTGTTGCCTGCGCATCCGGATCCATGGGCAATTCCATATTTTCGATATTGCTATTCAAGTTTGCCATGGATTGTATCGTCTCCGCAAGCTTGCCCTTACGCCGTGGACTTGTCATCTCCAAAGCGTTATCCATTGAATTGTTCGTCGCCATCGTGATAGAGTTGGAGTGGGAATTATTCTCATCAATCGCTCTTGAATTATCGACATGCGATTGTGGGGGGACCTTGATACGACAGCTCCAAATGCCTGACTCATCAAGCCATCTAAAAAGAGAGAAGAAAAAAACAAATTAGTAAAAAATCCCGAATCCAGAGTATGTCGACAAAAAATGATAAACCTTAAAAGGTCAATGGTGAATGAAATGTAAGAAAAAGATGAGATAGTTAGAGATAGCCGTTGAAAAAGCAAGGCAGTAATCTTTCGTGAAAGCAACGCGAAAATCTATCGGTAAAGCTTAAAGCGCGATACTATCACCAATCCAATCCCTAGCCTAGCTTAGCGCCCTCTTCGCAATCATTGGCAGCATATTTGGAATTGGGGGGTAGAGGAGGGTGGCATTTTTGATTCTTTTTCTTTCTTTCCCCGATGATTTGCCTGAGCTCTCTTTTCAAAAAAATAAATAAATAAATAATAAATAATTACTTGTTTTTGACCTTGCTTTCTTTTCTATTCTGTCCTGTTTCCCCCATCTTTTTCGCGTCGGTGGGAATAGGAACCAAATAAGATCCAAAGCAAGAGTCATAATCATAATAATAAGTATGTACGTAGCATAAAAATGCACGTGCTTTTTGTGGAGGGGAGGGGAAAATAAAAATCGAGCTATGAAAACAGCTAATGTATGTAGATAGATCAAAGTGTCGTAGTTATGGGGAAAGTGGAAAGTAAGATAGTAAATAGATGAAAAATAAAGGGGGAAGAAAAGCTTCATTCCAAATAAACAATCTGAACAATCTGAACAATCTGAACATACCTTCTTGATGCATCTGATGCCATTTTTCTTGGATTGGGAGTTGTATGATATAATAGGTATGATATTTATTTGATCGGGAGGTTGTATTTGTTTAGTTTGGATGGTGGCGACGCGATGAGGCTCTGAAAGGGAGGAGAGTTGCAAATACGGTGATAGACAGATAAATAGATTGATTGATAGATAGGTAGATAACAAAGATTGATGGCAAATAATAGATAAAATCGAAATAAAAGTCTCTAATAATCAAAAGATCAAATCAAAGACCATTAAAAAATTCCTCGTTTTTGGTTGGTGTGTTACGATTCCTACATATCTCAATATAAAATATGCAAAAAGGTGTCATGGGTTCCAAGGTTTGGGTTTCGTGATATTTTCAGTTGGTTCCAGTAAAGGTAGGTAATAAGTAGGTAAATAGATAGATATTTAGGTTATTCCAGAATAATAAGGAAGTGGCAGATGACAAGGTGAATTTTGGGAACATCCGGTAGATAAACCAGATCAATCCAAAAGGAGGCAGATATCAAAGAAGCTGAACTTGATGAACTCTGAGATCCAAACTGGGGAAAGGTTAAAATGCTGAACCACTTTCAATAAGGTATCCCAGGTAGATATGTAGTATAGTATGATTTGGACGGGGAAATGATATAGATTTATGAATATTCATTTAATTCTCTATAGGTACTGGGTATTAGATGGTGATTTATCAAAATAAATGTTTGATTATATATATTCCGATGCAGTTTAAAATGTTTGCACCTTTCCCTTCCCACTTGCGCTTCCACCCTTTATTCACCCATCACTCTTTTCCTTTTCCTTTTCCTTTTTCTTTTCCTCCCCCTTCTCATTTCTCATTTCTCATCTCGAAATTGCGGTTGGCCATGGGTCACACGATAACACAATACGATCTGAGATGCAAATGTAAGCAGGCATATTATTCCTTCCAGATGCGAGCCTAGTCCAATTTTATAACTGTTATAGATGAAATGGTTACACTATGATTTATTGAATATCTACATGTATCAGTGCAAGCAACTTTCAATTCATTTGTACAAATTCACTTCCTTCTTGCCACCTCCATTTGTATATATCCCTTTTTCCCTTTGTTTGTGATTCAATACATGTAGATGTCTATTTTTAGAAACCTTGCATATGATATCCACCAAATGCACTGCATCTGTATCAGAAGTATCTCCTCATGAAATCAAAGCTCGAAAATACATCACAGCACAACAATCACCATATGCTAATTGTAGGTATTCGTATGATTTATTTCCTCCTAACCCTACCCGCCCTATTGATAAGTAAACATGTAAACATATCTCCCCATATCATAAACCTGTGAGCAGAAAAAAAAAAGTCTCGCTCCAGCCATTCAACTGTACCTCCAAACCAACCAATCCACTTCAAAAATAGGAAATAGCAAGATCCGTATGTGTCTTCTTCTTGTATAGTTATCCCATACCCCGTCTTCCCTCATATACTTTTATCTCTTCTCAACGTCTAACCACCAAAACCTGCATCACATCATCCCCCCTAGACCGCACCCACGAACCCCAAAACAGCCCCGCAAATTCCCGCAGCCACAATCCAGACACTTGAATACGCCACAGCACCAAGCGCCTCAACACCCTCAAGCGTAACATACAATTGCACGAAAGTGTTAACACCCGTAACCATCATCAAAGTAGCTGTTCTCTTAATAATGAGCTTAGTTTTCTTCGACCAGCCCCAAAAGTTGTACCAGATAGTCTCTTCCAATGTAGCAGTCTCAGGATTGAAAGGTTCGGCCTTCGAGTCTGAGGGTTTGGTAGCGGTAGCTGGTGTGAAGATGAATGAACGTGTCGCGAGACCCAAGAGGAATGTAACGGGAAGGAGAGAGGTGGGAGTTGCGGAGTAGGCGGCAGCAATAGATGGGATACCTTCGAAATAGGTGGCGAGGTAAACTGGCAAGTACGACATGTATGCACAATAGAGAGTGACGCTGTAGATAGATGCCGCTAGGAGTGTAGTAATGACTTGAACGGGAATATCCGAAGTAATATCTCGATTTGGGACAGATGGAGAGTCTGCATGAGCGGGGGAGAGAGGTCGGAGTAATCGGAAGGGGATATAAGTTGTGAGAGTATCGATGAGAAGAGAAGTCAAAACAGTCTTCAAGCTAACTTCATAGAATGTGCCTAGAAGATACAACTACATCGCGAGAATCAGTATACCATCGAAAATACAATCGCAATATTGAAGCGGGGCAGAAGAGTAGGAACTTACCGGAGGACCACGAGACAACACACTCAAAGCCGCAAGATCATACCCATCATAATTTCCAAACCAGCCCAAAGCCAATTCCAGAGTCCTCCACGTAAACAAAATGCCAAAATCATCCCAACCCTCCTGCGACCTGCTAACCCTCCCCAACTCCCCACCATCCAAATAACTCGCTCTCAAACTATAAGCCAACCCACTCATCACCGAAGTGAGAATCACCACGACAGGAAACCTCAAAAGATCGGGCATTGTCGATTGCGATCGCGGTGCGCGTCCAGAATCGGCAGGCATCGAACGAGCCAGCTTCGAATTTCTAGTCATGCTCCCCTCACTCTCTCGTTCCAACTCCCTCCTCAAATAATATTCATCCAAATCATCACTCGTCTCCAAGTTGCTCGAATCCCCATTGATAAGCTGATCCGCGGCAGCCTCTGTACTATCCACCAAACTCTCCACCTTATCTCTCCTCAAAGATCTCGTTGCTGGAGCCATCGTTCCGTACCGTTTCGTTCTGTTTGTCTTGTTGCGTTTCCTTGTTATTATCGCTTTTGTATATTCCCTCAATATAGTATCGCGCGTTCCAATCGTCCAAATAGTAAACAGTTGAGCTTAATTGAATAAACCGTTACGTAGCCTATCCGTCAAATAAACAAGAAGCCAACACGTCCCTGTTAGAAACTCCAAAAACAAATAAACTATCTCCTCACTTTTCAAAATCCCCCTCTCTTCTCTCTTTATCCTATTAAGAATGATCAAAAGCCACCAACAGGATAAAAATTCAATTTGAATTTCAAATGCAATCTCAATCTGACTTCTTTGTTCTCCGTGACGTTTATTTGTTTGAATTGATTTTTCCTGACGTAAACTTCCAATGTGCAGTAATGTTTGTACATTCATATGTTTATAAGTTTGCCCACACGAATTTTTTCCAACTTTGCATGCAATGATGCAGCCAGCAGCTTAAGCTCGGACACACAGACGTCACTACCGCTACCGGTGAGCTTATTTCTCACCAATACCGTAGTTCCTTGCACACAGAGAATCGAGTCGTTCTGCCAACCATTAATTAATGTTTTCATTAACAATTTTTTCATGACAATTTTTCTCAAGTTTTTTTTTTCTTTCTCATTTAGTACCCACATGAAAAAAATTCATAGTTTTTTATTAAATATAAATAAATCGCGTTGCTCTACTAAGTATGTTACTATAGATACCTAGTATTCAATTGATGTTTACCTGTCTCGTGTTTACTTTTTTTTCTTTCTTAAAATTGCTGCACTTTCATCCGCATCTGCATCTGCTTATTCCATCCATTCATTTCTTCGTTTGCTTTTTTTTCCACTCGCCCACCAATACTGCATGCACTATTATTTGCCAACTTGTTCCTCCTACCTCAAAATTTATCCCAGATACTATGCCACACTTATCCATCCAGTTTCAAGCAAGTGCTATCTCCCCACGAAATATAAAGAACTCTAAACTCCTCAAGCCAAGGGTTCTTATCTGAGAGAAATAAAAGTCCTTTATAGGTACTTGTATTTATATGCTTGATGGCAACTCAACATGTCACTCTCATCACATCGACATCACCATCATCTTGTTCACACCTTCAATGTCGAAATCAAGTGGCTTTGAATCCAGTCATTTGTGCATCTCATTATCTAGTTTTGTTACATTGATATCATTTGTTTTTTATTGCTGTGGTATATCAGCTCGATCCTCAGTTTTAACCTCAGTGGATCAAACATCCACCCATTGGTGCTGAGAATCGACGATGGAGACTTTGCTCACTGCATACACATATTATGTTGCTACTACAGGAGAAGAAAAGGGAAAATATCACAGTGACCAATTGAAGAGCTGCTTCAATTGACACATTCAGAGTCGCCGACGGTCATTCCTCCATATGTCCAAAAACACCATCATCGTCATCATCAGAACGACCTCTGGAGCGCTGATCATAATCTTCCTCATCTCCAACACTATCATCGCCATCCTCCATATGAACATCTCCATCTCCATCTCCATGGATCTGATGTGGGTCATAGCTCCCTCTCGTAAAGCTTTCTCGGGCAAAACTTTCCCTCTGCCGTGGGTGAAGGCTAGGAGTGAAACTAGTCGAGAGATCATTCAAATATTCAGCTGGAATTTCAGGGACGGGAGGAGCATCAGCTGGAATGAGTGGTCCACTTCGAGGTGTTCCAGGACTTGCAAAGCCGCACGAAAGTGCGTGGATGGCTGCAGTCAATCCTTCCTCTTGATTCTCATTCATGCTAGAGGAGGGTGGGCGACGCTCATGACTTTGATGGCGAGAATGACCGAATCCGGCTGGAACACTACCGCCGTATAGTAGCCTGCCCGACATTGTATAACGATCACTATCTACAATGTATCTCTTTGCTCTGTTGTACGAACCACCACCGTATGCGTGTCGCATATCTGCAGGTGGTGGCGTCGTATCCGCAGAGCTGGCACGGTCAATATCATGATCAACTGAGCTAGACGCCCCCGGGGATGCAGAATCCTGATCGTCGCTTTGAAAGTCCTTTGCAGAATCCGGTGGAGTGTTAGCAGCATCTTGATTCATTCCTACAAGGACAGAGGCGGCTTCTAGCAGTTGTACTTGTTGATGCTTTGATATTAACAATTTCGAGGTGTAAGACCATTCAGGTGTGTGTTCCCATCTGCAAACAAAAAGTTAATAACGGTTCATAATCACTCCATCGTAGAAAGCTTCCGCGATAAAGCCCATGTGGAGGAAGATAGGAAAGGATGGTGGGCACGAACAAATGCTTAGACAAGCAGCTGCTGTGCTTGTATCCTTTTCCACACTTGTCACACTTGAGATCATTGGCATTAGCCTTCTTGCCGTCCTTCAAAAGTTGTGATCCTTCACTCGCTCTCCTCAATCTGTTCTTTGTAAAATCGTCGTCCTCATCCTCCATTTCCTCATCATTGTTCTCGTCGTCAATTGCACTCTCTCCACGCTCTGACTTCACCGCCGAATTCAACCTCATCCTATGAGTTGGCAGACTCGATGGTGGAGACGGTAAGCTGCCCATAGGTCCGGACCTCGAGGCATTTTTAGACATTGTTGCTCTTCGTGTAGAAATTGGCATTGCCAAAGGATTATCACCGACCTCCTTCGCAGCAGCTAGGATTGCGTCGACATTACTAACGTTTGCGGATACACTTTTACGTCGAGTTACTCTGCTGCTTGGTATAAGGGAGCCTCCCGATACTGAGTGAGAATGATTTCGTGAATGGGATTGTCGTGGATAGGAACTCGAATTTGTAGACAATGGAAGGCGGACTTGGCCAGGTCTTGAGGAATGCTGAATTTCCTGTGAGAAAGATGAGAATGATCAGCGGTGTTCCTATAAATAGATGGGTTGGTATGTAATAAGGGAAACAAGGTAATCACTTTGGAAGAAGCCATCTTGACAAAATTTATTTCCTTTGTTCCACTTTCGAACTCGGTGAGCCGACCCTCAATCCTCGAAGCTATGATAAGCAACAATATGAGGGCGAGACAAAATAATTTGGACGGAATTTTGGCGATTGGGTTTCGTAAATTGGTCGGGTTCGAGGTCAAGCTACAGTCCGCGTGGTTTTATGTAGGCGAGAGCTATTTGTTTTAATGATATGTAAGTGTGATTGGGAGAGCACAAATAAAAAGGAGGCTTCTAAGTGAATCAATGAATTTCATAAAATAAATAAAATAAAGATGTGAGAGCAACAAGGCAAGGTAAGGTAAGGAATCCGCCAAAGCCAGAGATCTTTGGGAAATTTGTCGCAGTTGGAATGGAGAAATAAAATGTTTAGTGAGAACCAGGATGAATCCAGAATAGACGGAGGATTGAATGGCTGAGACGATGCAGGCCGGCGGGGTTCGCAAGTTTTCCGTTGGAAGAGGCCACTGAGAGACTTGTGCTGAATGTTCGAAAGATGGGTTTGTTTCTAGAAGAGCGAAATTGCAGAGAAACAACAAGTATAAAAAAAGACAATGAAGTATATATTCGCCGGTTATTTCTTGTCTTTCTTCAAATAAGTGATTAAGTATCTGAAATTGTTTGTAAAATAATTTGACGTGCTGGCAAAGCTAAAATTTTCGTGCAAGCTGTAGAAATATCCAGAATATTTCCCAGAAAAAAAAAATAGTTGTAGCAGTAGTGGTAGATCTGGTGCCAATTTTAGGTTTCTGGCTAAGCTTGCCTCTTTCCTTCCCGGGGATACCACTTGGGTGTTGTTGGTGATTTTGGGGGAAGGAATCGGTTTCCTATAGGCCAATAGAATTGAAGATTGATAGCTGAGATTGATGAGCGACTGGGTGGTAACTTGAATTGGGTAGATACGAGTAGATACGAGTAGATATGATGCTAGGTTGAGTGTTGTAAAAATTGTTTTGATATCGACTTGGATTTGGACTTGGACTTGGACTTGGAGTATTCGGTAGGTGACTAGGAAGATAGATATGAAATGATGGGATAAATTCGATTTCGATCTGAGGTGTAGTGTAATCGGAGGTTTCCACTATGGCACTATCAATGAATATTACCTAGTTACTCCTAGTTAGTTACTCCTGGCCAGCTTTGGTCTCCCTGCTTGGTCCGCTAGTTTCCTTTTCGATCCAGCCCGTAAGTCGGAGCACTTGAATAGTGAATTATGGGGTTGGGGCGTCCCTAGTAGCTTGCTTATTCACGGGGGCTAGGAAAGATGTCTTTGGCTTTTGGGTGATGTGCTACGGGCTTAGTAGGTAGGTACCGATTTGTGCGTGACAGCTTGGAAGATAGTGAGTGGTTAACGCTGGCTCGAAAATCAAAATGCTATACGTGAATGTTCCTGAACTCAAAATAAAAAATAGTTGGAATGGCAATGGAGATTGCGATTGAGATTGAGATGGTATGTGGATAGAAATTTATTTCATCAGGATACAACTTTAACAATGTTTTCAGTCAATGAGTTATGAGTAATGAATGAATGTGCTGTAATGCGCTTGGAGAACAAAGAAATATACTTGTTATGTCAGCGGAGAGAGAGAGAGGAGAAACATCCGAATCAAAACCCGTTGGAGAAAAAAAATTTAAAAAATTATTGAAGATAATTTTTTGGGAGTACAAAAATCAAGGTAATGTTCACCTAGGAGTAGTCCCTAATTGCATTTCTAGAATGCTTAAGTAATGAAAAGGTGCAATTATTAGAGGGAGAATGGGTTTTGTGTGTTCTTTGTTTGTTCGATTCGATTGGATTCGTTGAAGTTGACCTGATTGATTGATTCATTGATTGATCCAGATTAGGAATCACCAGACACCTGCGTAGACGCACACAGTTCATAGCGTCTAGCGTCACACACACAGACAAGACACACACTTACTATATTAACCTATGAAAACCGTATCAAAAGAAAAAAAAAAAAAAAGTGAGAACAAGGAAATGGACGGGATAATTAAATGCAAGCCCCGATCTGCTCTCATTGGCTATGACTACGATTATTATTATTACCTACTGCATAAAGATACTAGCACAGATAGATGTATCAATCGCATCATAAAGTTTACACTGCCTCTCTACTCGTTCGCTACATAGAAGCTACAGTAGAATGAATACCTAGACATCCTCTGTAACTATTTAGGAAACGCCTTAACTCTTTCGAGACTTGAGTTTCCTCGTGATGAATTGAACGCTACGAATCCTTTCTTATTTTGGTCATAGAATTAGGGATGTACGGGTTTATAGTAAGGGTTGTGACCATCTCACGTGGCTTAATATTTTAATTATTATGTGTGTACGATACAAGAGATGCTATTTGTGCATGCGGTTTATTTATTAATTAGGCATTCTCTTTGATAATTGCATGCTAGAAATGCCTGGGCGGGTGAGTGCTATTAGGGGAACATTCCTTTTCTTTTCTTTTCTTTTCTTTTCTTCTCTTCTCTCCTTTCCACTTCGTATATCTCTCACCCCCTTCCTCCTTTTTTTCCCTTGTTCCCAAATGTTGGCTATCAGACTCAAATTAAATTCAAGTGTGGATGCACCTAACAAGGGTTGATACTAATCTGAAGCGCAATCGCAGCCGCGAGGATAAAATTATTGCATAATGATGATGATAAAAGGTTAATTTAGATTAAATCTCCATACGGAGTACCAAGGGCCATGACGTTGATTCAGATATTTGACGAGTGACCGCAAACAAACTTCGAGAAGAAGGCCTTCAGGAGGTATTATTCAGGAGGTTATCCAGTGTATCATACCCCTATTGCCCTGGGCAGTTCATAATTAAATGTTGTATATCTACCACTTGCACATTTATATATTCTCGCATCTATCCTGTATATAAACGGGAGATAAGAATCCATACCTCGTCTCAGACCTTCCAACACGATAAATACCCTCAATGCGCAGTTCCATTCCATTCTCCCATATAACCATAGCTTTTATCCAGCGACAAAAATCTAGCGATGCTCCATCAACCTACCTACTCCTGCAACCTTGACTTCCTCAAGCATCTATCTCCCCAAAGTGGAGAAAACGAAAACGACACAACAAATTCCCATTTGCTCGCTCGACGCATGACAAATTCACTGAAAGAATCGTGTTCACTCCGTAGACGCTGAAAAATAGAATTATTACGTTCGCAATACAATACAGCATACATACATACGTGAGATAGTGTGCGGTAAGATGACCTGCGTAGACAAGTAAGTATACGTAAGGTACAACTCAGCTACTATTTGCTGTCTCTGCTGTCACATATCCACCACCGTAGAAAGTCTCCCGTAATACCTCTTGTTCCTGCGCCGAGACATAGAAATTATGCCGTTCTTGAAATCCTGTGTGGAATTAATAGGGATAGGTAGATTACCCTGCCGAATTCAAAAATTATTTATGTTTGCATCTACAATTTTGTATCTAGGTATGCTTGTCTAACTCCAACAATGAAATGGAAATGGAAATGGAGTTAGAAGCGGAAATCGAAATCGAAATAGAAATGGAATTCCCAAAGAAAACCCAAAACCAGAAATAAATTGTGGATGTGCTCACGTAGATGCGGGAGATCGTTCTAGACTTTTTCCAACCTGGTTCACCATGCGCAAGCTCCTATCGCAGGAAAAGATCATCGCTGCTTATTTCTCTAGGCGGACAGATCACTGATTACTCTAGCATGAAGAAGTTAAGATCTTATTTCAATGTACAATGTATATTTTGTTGATTATCTCGAGATTAAACCTCGATATGTTTCCCTTGAATACAGTACACAGATAGGTTTTTGGAGAATAGAATATAATATGAATTGAACTGTTGAAGAAGATTAGTTTCTACCTAGTATCTAGGTAATGAAAAGATAGAATCTTAGGTAGAAATCAAATAGATACAAAAGATTCCATATCCATAACACGATCTTTTATCCCCATCATTCATTCGCTGCAACGAAACAACAGGAACCACGTCGATCAATTACTACTCTAGGTGCTTCCCACAGCGCCTACATCCCATGGCTCGCATGGGTAATGTTCATTTACATTCTTCCCATTTATTTTAGGGCGGGAGGAACCCTCTTCATTAAAACGATAAAATATAATTTTATTTTCAACCATGGATTGGGAATTCTGAATCTTCTCATGAGATGAAAAAGTGATGGCTAGTGACTGCAAAAGATGAATGGGTAATATTTGGTGCCAACAAGTAGTGCTTCGTCAAATACCACTCTAGAAAATAAAAGAGATCTAGGAGTTCCTGCGATTGGATTGTGAAAATGGAAATGTGTTAACACCATGGCATTTTGTGCGACCAAGACTTTCCCTTATCTATCACAGATCAAGTTTCCAGGATAATATATTTCGAATCAAAACCGATAGGTAGGAAATTTGGAAACCCTTGTGAATTTTCCAAGCTTCGAGTTAAACGTTTATATGGATTTGTTTTACAAATACCATGTTTGTATAGGTACCCAGGTATCAATCGACTTACCTATCGACCTCATATAAATTTCAACCACATCAACAAAATTATCACTTGAACGCTCGCATAGCAAGTCAACCCTTTCCCTACATAAGAAACTCTTGGATCCTTACTCTAAAGGCCATGTTTCTCCTCTCCTTTTTCACATCATAAAAGGGGCGTCAAAATGAGGTTACTAATGCAGGATCATGTTACTTACCATGGATTGATTCTGTATGACTGGCGGCACACGGTATACGAAATGGGGTAAGTAATATACCTAATATGGCGGGATGAAGCATGATTATTGTGCTTTAGGATCGAGCGTCTACTTGTCTACTTGACTCTATTCATGTTTTACTCCTCAAAGTCTCATAGGTATGTATGTACTCATCGGCAGGAAACTCATCCGACTTCCTAACAAATCGGAGCCGAGTTGTGGTATACTCCGTACACTCGCCAGCCATAGATGAATTTGCTTAGATCACAGTTCAACCAATTCAAAAACGATATCCTTACATTTCTACACATCTCTCAAACCTTCATCATTAATATTGGATCCACACTGACGTTATCTTACATCCACATACACAAACCCAAATTCCTCACCCGGGGAATCAACAAGACAGGTCCGATGATATGCGTACTGCAGTTAGAACCATGGATCGTATATCTACCCGAGATAGTAACCACGAGCATTACACCTTTCAACCGAGAATCTTCCTCCGGCTTTTCGGCATCAAGGCCATCAAATGACACCGGATCGGAGGTGGAGGTCAAAACTCTGAATACCACACATGGATAATGTGTATAGCTACCTACTTGATAAATCCAAGCGGGATTCCTCGATTCTTTCCGACGTAGGAGCTGAGGGGCTACGTAGGAGGCGTGTCTTATATAACGATACATGGAAAACTTTTGAGAAAAGGCTTGGGGATTTCCTGAAGAAAAGGATGGGAAAAAGCAAAATCGTAGAAATTTCTTCAAGCCTTTGTGTGATGAGGGGAAATTTTCTGTTGTGTAATGGTGCTATGGGGTTTGTATGGAACATGGCTGATACATATGCGTTACACTACATCAATTTGACATTTGCTGTAGATGTGGCCTTTTGTGTGCATTCGAGCATAGATAGCTAGGTAGTATTAGATACGGTATACCATATTGCGATATAGATAGCAAAGGACATATGAATTTATGTGAATACACTCGTTGTTTTGATAGAGAGAAACCAGATATAAAGCCATGAAGTAGTATTTTATCTAGTCTATCTACCCCTCACAAAATTTACCCCGCCAAACCAACATCCCATGATTTGATTCCCATACTCGGTATTTACTTTTAGAAAAATTATGGAATAGGATGATCATCATTACTATAATAATAATGATAATAATAATAATAAATCCTAGCAATTCAGTTCAGTTAGTTATAGTTATACTGTACTTGTTACTCTAAGTTACTTGCATGTACAAAAATCTCCGAAAACGTTTCCGGACATGATAGACACATACACAGTCAGTCAATACATCAGATTATTAGCTACCTAGTTAAGTTAACGACCTAATCCATGCAAAAAGCTCCTAGTGAAGTGAAGAACGCAAAAAAAATTGAAGAAAATGTTTTCAAAGTTGGATGCCTAGAAACTTTATTAATGGGTAGGGAATTGATGGCTTGGAATGGAGGGATGGGGGTTGAATGAGTCAAGTGTGCTTGCTTGCTTGCTTGCTTTCTGGGAGTGGAAGTGGGTGAATATCGTTTGTTATCTTATCAGATAAACTTAAGATCGACGGACGAAGAAAATGCAAGAAAAATCGTCATTTTAGAGGTCTTCTTGCATTAAGGTTACGATTTTATTGATGACTTGACTTGAAGATTATTGCAATTTTTTTCTCTCGTGGCGACGATATCTCATTATTGACTGACTTGAGAGATTGATTGTTTATATTTGGTGATATATTATTATTATATATTATTGGGGATTGGATTTACTATATTATTATATTCTATATTATTTGGAATATAAACAAAAACTAGAAGGAGAAACAGAGAATCCGAGTTACAAAACGAAAAAGATGTCTGAAGAAACATATAAGAAAGTTGGACGAGGAGGCGCGGGGAATTTTTATAGTAAACAGGATGTCGAGAGGAGTAATGGGACTTCTGTATGTATATTTTTGGTGTCTTCTCTTTGCTCTCTTCATACGTTATGTGCGCCTTTTAACCTTGATTTACTCCTCTTCGCACTTCGCTCAGTACAACCAGCAATGACTAACCTAGGCGCAATAGGACCTCGAAGCGCAATCCTCCTCCTCAAACTCAAACTCAGCAAAACACAATAAAACCCCCTCCTTAATCTCCCAGGCGCTGCGCGCAGTAGGTGGTGGACCTCCACCTGAATATCAACGTTTGTCCTTTCTCCTCCCCTCTCCTCTCATCTTCTCTCCCTATCTCCCTATCTCCCTTCCCTCCCACACATACCTCCAACAAAAACTAACACCAAATCCAGACACCGGCCGCGGCGGCGCAGGAAACCTCGCTTCACCTGCTTCTCTCCTAAACTCAGGTCTCACCCAAACAACAACTAATTACGAAAATCCCACCATTAACCCCGCTCCCCCGTCGAGTTCGCCCAGAAATGTAAAGAGTAGCATGCAGAGTGTTGTTTATAAAGGCGGGGTAAGTCTTCTATTTCCACTCCATTCCATCTCTTTTCTACTCCACTCCTTCCTTTCCTCTTTCACTTGAGAAAAAAAAACCCCCCCAAATCAGATATCAAACCAAAACAAGCAAAAAATTACAAAATATAGAAAACTAATCAAAATATATACATGTACAGCGAGGCGGCGCAGGTAATTACAATTGGGAAGCAGATGAAATAGTTAAGGAAAATCAACGGATTTCGGAAGAAAACTCGCGAAGAGAGATTGAGAAGAAGGTTGTGGGGGATGTGGATGGAGATGGGGAGGGAGGGTTGAGGAAACCAGGGAGGGCTTATGATATTAATGCGGGGAAGGAGGTGGAGGGGGGAAAGGTAGGAGCTTTGGGTGGGAGGGGAGGGGTTTTGGGTGCGGGGTTGGAGTAATTGGGGGGTGGTTGTGCATGTGTGTTTGGAGAGTGTGTATGCTTTTGCTTTGATGGGTTGGGGATTGGAGTAAATAAGGGGTGGTTGTGCATTCGGAGAGTGTGTTTGGAGAGTGCCTATGTTTTGGCTATGATGAAGTGGAGTGGTAGATGGAATGATGTTTAGGTTTCGAGTGGTATCGAGTAAGTACTCGATGCTCGATATTTGATACTTGATATCTGGGATCAGTTGTGAGATTGGAGCATAGGAAAGAAGACGCGATGGAATAAGAGGAAGGTAGCACTGTATTATTATTATTATTATTATTATCTCACCATTGGATTTAAGAATCCGCTAGGATAGATAGATATAGATCTAAGACGGGCGACTGTCAATTCTCTTTTGAATTTTTTTTGTTTTTTTGTATTGTTTTTTTGTATTGTAGCATTAAGATCTTAGTTTTACTCATGTATAATTACACTTCTTCAGAAGAATAGGATCGGAAACACCCAATTTTCGAGTGATGATTTTATTAATCTAAATCTAGGATTAGTGAGGAAATGAGCAAGTGATTCAGGATATTATAATGTTCCATAATTTAATCATACCTACTCGAGGATTGGTAGAGTGTATAATTCCGAAAGCTGTTGTTGATTTTGGTTTATGGATTTTTTTATGTATTATAGGATTACATAGGGTTTTAGGATTGGATTGTTGGACTTTTGGGTTGTGAGGTTTTGTGGTGTGACAGGGAAGGAGGGGAAGGGAAGGGATAGATATTTATTTTCTAAAAGAGAGATGATATATAGAAGGTTCTGAGAGGGGTGATGATAGATTTTCGAGGGAAGAGTGAAAGACTGGAGGATTGAAGTAGATGGGGAGGGAGGTAAAGGGAGAGAAGAGAGGGAGGGATATTTAGGGGGAAGCTGGGGGAAGGGGTGTAGAGTTTGGATTGTGGAATCGAGTGGAAGAAATTGTTTATAGAATAGAGGAGATAAATGTGAAGTGTTTTTTTGGTGGTTGAGGGAGCGGATGGATAAAGATTGATAGAATGATAGGAAAGGGGTGCTAGTAGCGAGATCTCACAATTATAAGATCTTATGTTAATTAGATCCAACGTAAATGGAAAGGTGTTGACCTCCTGGGATCTTGGCAGTATATGCATATATATTGCATGATGCATATAAGGAGCAAACAAAACTCAACTTTTAATTCATTCTTTCCTTTTTGGTATACTGTTTGTTTGCTTTCGATATCTTGATTTCAAAGCACTTTAATTCCGAAGGCCGAATACCTAACCCTATTCCTTCATTTTTTGAATATATACTCGCAGCTTAACTGCTTAGCTAGAGAATCAATCAATTCAATCTGATGCTCTTTCTGGTCTCAAGAAACCCAATAACTGGTCTTGTTTGAAAGTCTCGACAGTAATCCTCAACCCATCGGAGTTCGTCATAGAAATTCATTCTACACCAGATCCTACGATCTCCGTTCTATAGTAGGATTTCCTATATATCTCCGATTACTAGATCATAATCGCTGTGTTCCCATCCTTCGTTAGTGTGAGGAGAGTCTAAGTCTGCGATAAATCTTCTGGTGTTATCCATGCTTGTATTCTCCTTGAATACTATACGGTATGGATTGCTGTAGGTTACAGTGTATAGGATCAAAAAGGTTGGATGGTCATGAGTTCGATGTTTCTCAACAAAATCAGGTTTTCCTTCTCCGTGGTGGCGCCAGGTGCGTCTTCCGTCGAGGTAACTGGTCATATACTATAACTCATTTTCCTGAGGTCTCAGGAGGTCTTCAGCCATTTGCTGGCTGCCCTCGTATCCCACGGTGGATCCTTCCTTTATGGGTTCCTCGACTGACTCGAGGTTTCCTATCGACTCGATCTCCTCGTCGATGTCTTCCGATAGCTCCACTCCTATGCTTAGGGTGGCAATGCCCAACTCTTCGAGTTGTTCTGGATATAATTGAGGCAGCTCCTTTTCTAGCAATCCAGTCTCTCGGAAGCTACCTTCTAGGGCACCCGCTTCCCGGGATCCCTGTCTCCTGTTTCCAAATCTTACTTGTTTCTTGCCTTTCGCGGCGAATGGCTTCTTCTGGGAACAATCCCTAGACATATGTCCTAATGGTGAATCGTGACAAGTTTCCTGTTACTCGGCGTAACATTCACCTCACCTCACTGTCACGATTCATTAATTCACGTGACCTCGAGGACCTTGAGGACCTTTTGGACCTTAGGGTCCCAAAGGTCCTCAAAAGATGATATAGGGTATATAAACATTCATTTAGTCTCGTAGTTAAGGAGCTTTATGCTCAACTTAGTTATCAATTAGTTTACCTACATTCTACTTGATCTAGTAACGACTTCACTTCCAAGTGAAGACCAGTGATAAAGCCTTAACCCACAACTACCAACCAGACGAAACCTTAGGCAGCCGCTGCCTCCAGTATAGTATCGTTACACTCACCTCACTCACTATATAAATCTTTCCCATCTAATTCCTAGCCTGTATAAAAATAAAGCAAATAAATAAATAAATAAATAAATAAATAAATAAATAAATAAATAAATAAATAAATAAATAAATAAATAAATAAATAAATATTTGTATGTTAAGTTGAAAGATAAGAGGGGGCAATAGAATAGGTTGAGAGAATAGCTGGCTTATTTGGTTGTTCGTTGTGTATGAAGATTGTATAGGGGGATAGATGATGGATATGGAGGGATGGATGGGTAGATGGATAGATGTTGCATAGATAGATGGCTAGATGAATGGATATAGATGGGTGAATAGATGGATATGGAGGGATGGATATGGAGGGATGGATATAGAGGGAAGGGATAAATAAATAAACAAATAACAAAAATCAATGTTTATAACTTATTTTCTTATTGATAAATATAATTTTCTACTAACTATCAGAAATATCACTAATAAGAACTTCTTCAGGATCATTTTCTATCATCGAGTCCATGAGGTGAAATTTGGGTTAGGAATAAGATTAGGTGTATAAATCTAAGGGATGATCTGTCCGCTTCTTAGAGATGGGAGAGATTGTGGATGTTAATCTATTGAGAGAGTAGATCTCTGGTGATATGTTTGTCGTGGTATGACAATAAGAGTTGGGAATTAATCGGTTAGATGACTCGTCCGTCTTGTTTTTGTTGAGGAGATTAGTATCATATCTCACGTAATATGGTGAAAGATCCGCTTCTAGAGTTTTGTCTTGGTGGTTGAGAATTGACAGATGATGTTTTCAAACCGGTGGAGGTTCTCTTGGGTCCTTGGGATAATGTGGTTTGATAGTTGGAGATAAGGATTGGGAGGTGATCATCAAAATTTCCCATTTCTGACCAGTAGCTTGGAGATCATTATTTTCCACATTATGTGATTAGGAATCTGTGATAACGAATCCTGTCAAAGTCTCAAAAAGCAATGATTATAATGGAGGTAAGACCTCTAATGTTGAAACTTTCAAAGAGTCATTGACACCAGCTCGGAGATAGTGAATAGGTAAGGGGCAGAACAGTGCTTGTTTCTACTGTATGGTTCTTCTATTGGCATACACAGACTTCTGTCTGTGGGCTTTTTGTATGTGGCCAAGCAGTGGAGATGGAGGCTTAGAGGGACTGATTGCGAGAGGGACCTACATCTTTGGGCGAATTCGGCCAAATAAAGAAGCGTCATGGCTTGTTTTGAGAAGCATTCATCACAATCTTGAAAGGCTGCTAGAGGTATGTTCTGAGAACTTTGGCTTTGGTTGATTGATATATGACTAACGCCAGACTTCTGAGCAGTATTTAAAGGCATCAAGAACCGCTTGATATATTGGGATGCCACTACAGAGCGTATATTTGTCTAACAAATTGCTCACAACAACCAAAGTTGACATCGGAACGGAAACCTCTATTCGTGCAAAAAACAACCGCTGTAAGCCTGCGCGAATTGGAGACACGATGGCTTTTTCACCAGGATTCTCAACTTGAGTCTTTTGAATCGCCCCCTTAAAAATGTCCACAAAAAGTCTTGCCGGAATAGTCCCAAAAATCACGCATTTCAAAGTTTCATTAATTGCGGTACATTATATGGTATGGCTTCTTGTAGTAAAACAGACAAGCTTTGGAAGGGCACAAAGGCGAGCAAGACGGGCGCTTGGAATATCCCCTTGATCTTGGCCAAAGTCGTCTTTGGGACCCGCCAGACTTGGACCCGGAGTCTTTTCTAGTTTTGAGAAGCTAGATTAGCTTGACTCCACCGTTCTATCTGAAAATGATCTTGGAGGTTTGAATGAATATGAACTCCTCATTAATTGTATTGTCCGATGTTCGCCATGGGGAAGAGGGGCATGATAATTAAAAATAGCTGAAGATGTTCAAAAATAGAAATTGATTGGTTTTAAGGGGGTGATGATAATTTATTTGTGTAGAGTGGACATCGTTTCAATGATACAATAATAGAAAGAAAAGAAACCTTTTTTAATATATTATTATAATTGAGAGAAAGAAAGAGAGTTTTTCTTTAATATACATATCGTTAACAGCTTACCTACCTTGAAATATACCTGTTGTATGATAATTGACACCTAATTACTCAAATCTTGCAGTAATGAACAGAAAAAAAAGTTTATCTTTGACAGCTCCTCTCTGGAAAGGAAGGATGAATGACTTTATCTCGACCAGTGACTCATAGAATTTTGTAAGTGCCCATCAGACTGGCAGCTAAAGAAGATTAAAGAGCAGCTCGATCCGACATCCCGCTGCAATCTGCGATCAGATAATTTTTTGGAACAGATGGTAGCAAACATGTGATGAGGCAAATCAACTTGATTGGCCAGTTAGAACCACGGAGGTATTCTGATTGATATGACAGGAAATGCAAATAAATTGGCATTAGAGTGGAAAAGCTTGGTTGACGGGCGGAGGAATGAAAAGATCTTGGGTGGCCAAGGGCTGGGCAGTGTGAAATGGAAGGTGAGAGTGAGTTGTGAGATAGATGGGAGGAAAAACATCATGAATCCAATTTATCTACGGGGTAGTTAGCCGAAACATTGTTTCATAATTTCATAACTTGTTCATAATTAATTATGTACGTCCGGGGTATACACATACCTAGTAGTATGTGCTGGTACGCTCAGTCAGCTGAAAATAAATAAACATCATCCCACCCCGCAAAAGATTAAACATTTGGGAGAAACGAGTTAGTGATCAACAAGGGGACACTTTTGCCCGAGCTATGCGATTCCTGTACTACCTGTCGTAACAACGAATAAGAAGGTGAGGTTCAGATGGATAAGTCAGACTTCTACCACTATGGTCTATGGAAGTAAGACTACCAAAAATACGAGAATGCCATGATATGACGATGACTGTAACTGATACTCAATATGGCATGATACGAAAAGATGGGAAGATTACTTATCAATAGTACGGAGTAACGACATCTGGCGAGTACCACTCTTTCTTTATCTACTTGCTTGCATTTCATGGGGAAACAATACCCTTCTTTTGCCTACTCCGGAGTCCGTACTTACTGTACGTAATGAAGAATGGACTCTACAGTACCCCGACGATGCAGCCTCCTGCATCAATATATTTCTAATATTAACTATCCTTTGGGTTAAACTTTACCTACGTTTAGATAGTCCAAAGTATGTGGCCTCAACCTTTCCTCCCACCTGCATCATGATAAAGTTCACATAAATGTCAGCAATTGTGCCAATGCTCTCTAGGTTAAACTTCTGACATTGTGCAAATGCTCTCTAGGTTAAACTCTCTTTTAAATCAATCTTCGGTTCATACTTGTATGGTATCATTTGGAATCTCATGATATGAAATGAATATGAAACCGTTGTAATATGTGTTAATGGAAAGAGGTCAGCAAATGTAAAGAAGAGCAAGCAAAAGCAGGAAAAACAGCAAAACACAGCCCGAATGCCAAGAGAATACGCAGTGCCAAGAGAGCCAAGTTTCTCCGATCTTGGCCTCGGGGCGCAATCTCTTGGATGTGAAAGGGCGAAGAAAACGTATTGCCAATTTCTGCGACATTGACAAAAGAATCTGGTGCATGTTCCTTCCATACACGCCAAGACATTTGAACCAATTAAATAATCCACTCAAGTTTGAACCGAGTGGAATGCCAAGAGACTAGGAGTGGAAGCCAAACTTAATTTAGTCGCCAAGAGTTTTTGCCAAGACCTAGTCACGCCCAGTCTTTCCGTTATTCTTACAAGAAGGCACCAAGATCCTCCCTTTGGCTTGGAGACTCGTTTGAGAAACAATTTCGAGGAATACACTTTTTATCACTCACTTCCTTTGATTCTAGTTTTGCGTCAACAATCTTAACAGAACTTTTGGACATTCCATCAATCAATCAATCAAATTCATTCAACTTCTAATATTGATAGAAGGAACAGACCCATAACTTTTTACTAGTCTATCTTCTTCTTCCACACACAGTTTAGTCTGTGAATAGATCATTTTAGCCGACAATTGATTATTGGTTAATTCCAACCACCTTATCCATACACCCAAAATGTCCAGCCAGGACCAACAGCAGCAACAACAGCCGGCGCAAACACAGACTTCGACGTCTTCGAGTTCTAATAATGAAAACGCTACTACGGCGACTTCATCAATTCAGCAAAATGTTGTAGCTGATGATAGTTTACTATGTCAGTGGGAGAAATGTTCGGAAAGATGTCCCACTCCAGAAGCTTTATTTGTAGGTTGATTTTACCTCAGCACTCATATCTTCAAACACCATCTCAATCCAAAGTCCTTGTACTAACATGTAATTTCCAGGATCACATCTGCGAGAAACATGTTGGAAGGAAGAGCACCAATAACTTAAACCTTACTTGCGGTTGGAATTCATGCCGTACTACTACCGTCAAACGCGATCATATTACATCTCACATTCGTGTTCATGTGCCACTGAAACCACATAAATGTGAATTCTGTGGAAAGGCATTCAAGCGTCCACAAGATTTGAAGAAACATGTCAAGGTACGAGCAAGAGCTGGTGTGTATTCCTTTCACCCTGCTAACAATCACCCTTAGACCCATGCCGATGATTCCGTTTTATTGAGAACTCCAGAACAATCTGGTGGTTCAAATGGGGGATACAGACAACCAGGCGGTAAAGGTACGTAAGGGCGCAAGTTGCCTTTGTTCTTATATATGTCTAACATTTTTCTTATGTAGTAATTGCTAATTTGCAACACCTTGCAGCCAATCCTATGGGTTATTATGATCATAATGCTTCGATGCATCCTGGTTCTGCCGGGGTTTATGGCAATTCTCATCACGGTGGTCATAGTGGATATTATGCACCTGCGCACTCTCAACAATCTTCATATGGAGGAGGCCCAGGCTATTATCAAATGTCTCACAACCCTGATCTCGGTCAACATGCAGCTTGGGATGAGAAAAAGCGAAATTTCGATAACTTGAATGATTTCTTCGGTGCCGCTAAGCGTCGTCAAATTGATGCTCATTCTTATCAACAAGTCAATCAGAGATTGATGCAATTACAAGGAATTCCTATTGGTACAGGTGGAGGTATCTCTGATTACATTCATTCAGCACCTCAATTGGTTCCAATTGACGGTCACGGCGGTCACGGACATGGAGGGCCTATGCCACAACACCAATACTCCCTCCCTCTCCCGAACTTGCGGACCAAGAGTGATTTGAATTCCATTGATCAATTCTTGGAGCAAATGCAATCAACAGTATACGAAAGTTCAAACGCTGCTGCCGCAGCTGGTATTCACCAACCTGGTGCTCACTACACTCACCAAGCTCTCAACTTCCGTCAAAGTCACTCGCCACCACAAACTCATATCCACAATATTGGTTCAATGGCGCCACATGTTTCCACTTCTTACGCTTCAGCACCAATGACCGCAACTCACTCATCTCATTCAGTTTCTTCTGGTACACCAGCTTTAACACCTCCCTCAAGTTCCGTTTCATATACTTCCGGAAATTCCCCGATGTCCTCAAGTGGAATGTCTCCCATCTCAAGACACAGTTCAACATCAAATGCAGCATACCCTAATCTTCCAGCTGTAACGCTTGGATACTCCCCACATCATTCAGCAACCGCACCAACATCCACACTTGGTACAAACTTCGATAGTGATCCCCGTCGTCGTTACTCCGGTGGGGTGCTCCAAAGAAGTGCTGGTGGACTTAACTCAAGTCAATATCGCGAGTCTATGGAGACATCTACCGTTGGTTCTCCAACACCATCTCCAAAGGAAACAACACCTCGCCCTGAGTCAATTGTTAAGACAGAAGTTACCAATAATATTGACCCAGCTCTTTCTGATGCTGGTTCACCTTCTGTTCGATCAGTTGATACTTTGGAGAGTGCTCGTGATAGAGCTGAAGAGGCATGGATTGAAAACATTCGTGTCATTGAAGCTTTAAGAAGATATGTCAGTGATCGTCTTCAAAATGGAGAGTATGTCAAGGATGAAGAAGACGAAGATGTATCTATGGCCGACACTGATATGCAAGATACACAAGTAAAGACTGAGGAGAAGCCTGTCGAAAGTTTGTATCCAGTGTTGAAAACGGATGATGATGATGAGTAGTTGTTAATTTTAAGCTTCATGAAGTTGATTGAAATGGGCGGAGTTTTGCTTGCTTGGTATACCAAGGGTGGATTGAATGGATTTATACATTATTTGATAGGAGTGGATGGATGGCGTTGGTATGGATGGAGTATGAATTTTAACCTATCTACTTTGATCGAGGAATGAGGGAGAATGGTGTGCAGTAATACCTTCGTTTTATTGAATGGAATGACCTGTCATTAAGTGGATGATAGTATATGTATACAATAAGCAAGATTTCGCTTTTTCTCTATATCATCTCCATATGGTGTTTTATGATGTGATTCGGTTTGATGAATATTTTGTGGGAAGAGATGACATGTAATCTACTCGGGCCCGAGAAGAGCCCCGCACATATGTGAGCATTGCTTTAACAACTACCCCACTTTAAATATACCTCTTTATTCCATCGTATCTCTATTATTGAATATTTATTTATTTATCTATCTGTCTACCTATCTATCTTTTCGTTATAAACCTCCCTCGTTTTCCACACACAATAACACCTACCATCCATCAAATCTCGAGCAAACAAATACCTACCTACCCAAATACGCAAATATCCAAATACCAGAAGACCCAAATAAAAAAATTCCCCAACAACAACAATTGAATCATACGCATACAATGCATACGTATAAATCGGTCTATCCTGATGGAATACAGGTACAAGAGGGAATTAAAGAGTTTTGGGAAGGGTTTTATGGGGTTAGTGATTTAGAGGGGGAGGAGGAGGAGGGGCATTTGGTGTGAGTCTTCTTTTTTGGGGAGTGGGGGGAGAAGAGAGTTCGTTGTTTTGAGGGGGTTTCTTTATTTGTTTTGGGGTTGTTGGGGAGAAGGGAGGGGGTGGATTGGGTAAATGGGTGGGGAAGGGACGGGTTTGGGGGTGAGAGGGATGGATGGGGAAAGGATGAGAGAGAGATGGGGAGAGAATGAGAATTGGAGGCAAGGGAAGAAGGAGATTAAAGAAGAAACTGGAGGTTTTTTTGAGATCATGGATAGATAGATGCATTGATGGGGTGAAATGAGCAAAAGCAGATTTACTGACGATTGGTTCATTAATTAGGTATGCGGATCAATTTACTGAGGATGCGGTGTTGGTTATGGGGGTTAAGAGGGTTAGGGGGAGAGAGGGTGAGTTTTGAATTTTCTTTTCCTTTTTCTTTTTCTTTTTCGTTTTCCTTCTTTTTGTTGGTAGGGTTGGGGAGGGGGAGGGAGAGGAAGAAGGAGAATGAAGGAGGGAGAGCAAGTGCTTTTCATAAGGACATGAAGAGAAACAAAACAGAGAGTTTATACCTTTCTTCTTCCTTTAAAAACATCGAGGGCAATCATGAGATAAGGAAGACAGAGTCACAGAAAACAAGATCTGAGATACATCAGAAAGAAAACACTAACCAAGCCCCTCAAAATCTAGAAATCCTCGCTTTCAGGAAATCCATGTGGGAAAAAGTAGCAAGTCGTTTGCATACTGTGCATAAGATTTTTTCTTTTGGACAGGATTCTACTGAGGTTATGTTGTTTGGGAATGTGGCTGTGAGTGATTCCTTTTTTCATTAATTTTGCTTGAATTTTGATCTTCTTGGGTTGGCTTTTCTTGAGCTGGATTGTTCTGAGTTGGGTTAAGTTTGGAGTTTGGGAGGAGAAAGGGGGAGATCAAACTCCAAGATAGAAGAGGAGAGAGGAAAAAGGAGGAATTGCAATTACGGAAGAAGAGGAGGAAGGGGAGGAAGAGCAGATTGGATGAGATAAGGTTTATTAAGATAAAATACTAATATCCTGTATAAACACAGTATGGATTGAAAGATGGGAGAAAAGCAGATGTGAGTATCATTCATTCATTTCAGCTCCCTTCTTCTCCATGAGAATTCCTCTTATCTTTGAATAGGACATATGCTGATATGGAGATAGGTTGAATGGGCTGGCAGGGCAAAATTGGTTCAGGAGGGTGGGAAATGGAAGTTGGGGTTTTATCAGGTTTATTTGGTGAGTGGATTTTTGGTTTGGTATTTGGTTTGCTTTGGTTGTTGAGAAATGGAGGATTGGAGGGGGGTGACAATCGGGGAAAGTCTAGGTGAGAATGATCTATGGCTGATAAATGGTGTTTTAGGATTCGGCTGCTGTGCAGAATGCTAAATAGGGGGAGTGGCAAGAATGAGAGGATGGAACTGATGTGACGGAGAAAAGTGACAGTGAAATATACAAATGGAAGTATGTGCATGCTTGATGTCATAAGATTTTAAGTGAGAATTATGTGAACATCTAAATTAAAGCTTTACTCCTAGAATTCTCTGCAAACAACCCACGCTAAACATATCTTACAAGTACTACAGCCACCAGTTAAGCAATTATTATCGTCACATCCTACTGTGTAATCACATTAGTATCAAATACCCCGCTCTATCACTAAACCAACTTAACCACCTCCTCAAAATCCATAATATCATCCGCACTCCTCGCCACACCACCCCCCTTCACAATCCCCTCCCCATCCACAACCCAACTCCCACTCATCTGCCACCGACTTCCACTCTCCGTAAGTCTATTCCAAATTTTCTCTTCACGCCCAAGTCTAAACACAGATAACATACTCCGAGGATTCAAGACGTGCCAGGCCGAACTACTTCCTAATCCCCATTGTGCGTAGATTTCCCTCTCCGGATCGATTATTATTTGGATGGGTCCTGCACCGCCGAGAGAGGTGATCCAGGCTGAGGTTGAGGTGGCTGAGGAGTGGGGATATGGCTATTAGGTTTAGGGTTGGGTGGGTGGTGGCGAGGTTGCGGAGGGTGAGGAGGGTTTTTTCGGCGAACTGGGGGGGATGGGGGTGATTAGATGGGGTGGGTTTTGGGTTGTGGTTGGTTTGGAGGGGGGGAGAATTGGGTGGGGTGAAGGGGATTGAGGTGAATGGAGATTGAGGTAAACAGAAATTGGGGTAAGAGGTCAAGGGCAAAAGATTTATGATTGAGGGATTCAGAAATTACCGGGCAGCCGCAATGTCTCAGGAATGTGATAATAGTAGATTTTCCATTAGGATTTGGAAATGAAAGTTTAGATGATGAGGGAGCTTTAGAATTTATTTCTGGAGGTGATTGGACGTCAGTTGGAGATTGAGGTAACCATGAATTGAGTTCTTGTTGAAAAGTCATTTTTAGATCAGATCAGCGTGAGGATGTAACTATTGAGAAAATGAAGGCGACGAGACGAAATCGATGATTTCATAGAGGGGAAAAGCTTCAAAATGTGGGGGTAGCTTTCTCACGCATGCATGGCTTGTCATCTTATCGTAATCCTTGCTAGATTGTTCTGGATGGTTAGGTAATCTATCAGTACCAAACAATTTGATCTTGGGAAGATTTTCCAAATTCTCCTTCCTTCAAATATCATCAGATATCTCCGGATCCACTGTATGCTGATCTCAGATTTCCGAAGTCTGACCAACCATATGCAGTAGCCTCCAGTTTATGCATT